TGGAAAGCAATCAAAAACACGCATATTTCAGAATGCGATCCATCGCCAACGGCGTACGAGCTAGTTCATTGGCACAGACTTCATAATATTACATTTATTACGATATAAGTGGTTGTAGACTAAATTGGCGGTTGATATGATATGATTTCATTGATTGTTTATTTAGATAATGAAGCGAACTATCTTCTTGGTAATTATACTGATAGTAAAGATCGCATTAAATGTCTTCTCACTGCAATGTAAGTAGCTGAAATTTTGCCAACTGTACATTTGGACCCACTGCAAGCGATATGATCTGAGGTCAGCACCTTACCATTTTATCATAGTTTGCTTAAAAGAACGAGGATGGACAGGATAGACGACTCAGTGACTTAATTCACAAATTGTTTTAAGTAATTTGAAGCACTTTTCAAACACTCTCGGAAACCATTAAAGAGGTCTTAGTTTTTGTATCTAGACCCTCTCCCAATCTCCTCCCTAGCCACCACCCCCTAGAGATAGGAAAAAGAAATGAAATGCACGTTTGCTTTATAGATGACCATTGTGGAGAGAGATTAATCAAAATACGCGGCTTGGTTGTCGGAGGAAAAATCTCGCAACGAGGCATGTGGCCTTGGCAAGTTGGTATCTACAAAAAACAAGGTGGTAAGAAAATCCTTACTACGGGGTATCATATCGTATCATATCATATCATATCTTTTTAAGGAGGAGGGCATCAAAGTATCTCTTCTGGCCTGGAATGTGTCATCTTATCTATCTTTTTTCACATTATCATCAGTTTCAGGATGGAAGTTCTTGTGTGGTGGTGCGTTGGTATCTCCACAATGGGTTCTTACCGCTGCACATTGCTTTTATGTTGGTAAAAATAACACAAATAGGGTTTGGTCTGAAAAAGATATAAAACCACTCGCAAAGTAAGTTAAGCTGCTGACCATTATACAATGCTCGAGTCAGTTGTTGAAGAGTGAGTATCAATTAAGATGACTTTTGTCCCAGGTATAAAATCAAAGTTGGTGATCATGAATTAAGAAGCTATGAATCATCAGAACAAGAACATAAATTCCAAGAAATATTTATACATCCCGACTACAGGCATGATCCCATCTATGAGAACGATATCGCTTTAGTTAAACTAAACCGTGAAGTCATTCTCGGCCCGTATGTGCGCACTGTTTGTCTTCCTGGACCTGACYTGGACCTTGCCAAACCAGGAACAGCAGGAATGGTTGCTGGATGGGGAATTACTGAATCGGGTTATGGTTCCTCGTTTCTTCGCTACTCCTCGTTTTCCATCAAAGCTAACAATGTTTGTGGGAGAGCAATAAGCTTCTACTACAACAAGACAGTAGCATTTTGTGCAAGTGATGTCAAAGGACACAGCGCGCCATGTTACGGTGACAGTGGAGGGAGTATGGTACGAAAGTTGTTCCTAAATGGAAAATATCGATATGTAACAATTGGTCTAGTCAGTTGGGGTGGATGTACTTTASGAAATCATTATGGGTACTATACAAGACTGCAGCCATTCTTACCGTGGATTTATCATAAAGTCAGTAAGTATTAATGTCTCGAACATTGGTGTTGGTCTAGTAATTCTTGGATGGGGATTGATTAGGGTTCTAACCTAGCTGAGAATGTATAAAATTGAATAATCTCATAACATCCTTGCTTATAAACGGCATGTGATTTTTCACCAAAGTGATGAGTCTCAACTCATTATCAACAGAATGTCACATTCAAAATGGACTTCCAAATATTGATCATTTTTAGATTCCACCTGCATTGGTCCTGGTCAGCCAACAAATGGTGTAGTTACTCCAGTCAAGAGCATATACCAGCCAAATGAAGTCATAAGGTTTACGTGTGACATAAAMTACAAGAAAATCGGAAAATCAGAACTGACCTGTCAACGAGATGGAACTTGGAATGGATACAAGCCAACTTGCCTGGGTATGTAGGGCCCARCTTTTTTCAAACTTTCATCTTAGTTTATAGTAAAAAAGATGTTAATACGACGTACTGAATACTTCGTTGTAGAGGTAAGCTGTACCAACTTYCAYCACCCAGGAGACGGCAGGAAAAAACCTAAACAARGCAAGTTCTTGCCCGGAGAAAACATTGTCATTGAATGTAAAAAAGGTTACACACTACTTGGAAAGTCATTTCTCATTTGCCAAAGTGATGGTTCTTGGGATGGACACTGGCCATATTGCTTAGGTATCTACAATGCAATCACGAAAGACTATACATTTGGTTATACTGAACATACGCTTAAAGTTGAACTCCAGTGCTTTGGTACTACTCTCGTTCGAATAGTGATARCCAGTTCAATTATACTTTTCTCAGGTGAAGCTTTTCCACATTTTTATCTTTAACAGCACCATGTCCGCAACCCAAACAACCAAAAAATGGTATTCAGTTTGGCAACAACTTTTCGCATGGCCAAACTGTTAGGTTTAAATGTAACTCTTATTTTAAACGCATTGGGTCGTCTACTACCACGTGCATTAATGGAAARTGGAACAATCAACCCCCAAAATGTGCTGGTATGTGTGCATTAATGTTAAATATTATTATATAATAGACATTGTAGGCCACAAGTCAATCGAATATTAAAATTTCAAGGAACTTTTTCTTTGTAATATTAAGTCAAATTTCTACGTAATGAAGCTGTCATGCAGGCCAGCGGCTAGCAGTCGGAATGTTTCGATTGTCAATAATGTTTACACAATTAAATATGATGAGCCAGAAAAGTGAATTAAAAGATACCTGTACTAAACAATATTGCATATTCTTACATCTCTAAGCTCCATGTCCAGATCCTGGTACACCAATTGATGGTCATCGATACAACCATTCTTTCCAACATGGTGACCAAGTCATGTTTTCTTGTGAAAAAGGAATGCTTTTAATTGGAAGAAAGATTATTACATGCAGTGATGGACGATGGGATCAGATGGCACCGACATGCATAGGTATAAAATTATTCCAGAAAAGCCGGAAAATAACRTGAAATACAATAATCGGGAATAGGATTTAATGAATATAGTTATTTCATTTTTCTTTATCCATTAATTATTGGAAGATGCCCCGAATTACTATGAAAATATTATTATAATTCGAACTGACTGTTATCGTTGCATACGCATTATGCGATGCGTTCAGGAGGAGCCTGTTATTAGAATGGTGATCCACCAATCGTGCAATAGCTTTAATATATCTCACTATTTATTTCCCTATTGGTTTATAGCTGTGGACTGTGGTCGTTTGCCAATTCCTCAAAACGGAGAGAAGATCGCGGAAACTAAGACTACTTACTTGGGCGAGGTATCCTTTAGGTGCAATAAGAAGGGTTACCAGCTTAAAGGGTCGAGTAGACGTGTCTGTCAAGAAAATGGTAGATGGAATGGTACTTTGAGYAGATGTGAACGTAAGTCACCTATAATTAAAATCATTGTAYAAATTGTACTTAGTAAACATAGAAAAAAGCCCTGACACGCGCGCTATTTTTGTTTTTAGCTGTCGAGTGCCAAGACACTGGGAAACTTGACTATGGCGGTCGTAATCCTGATTTGGACAAATATGTTTATGAAAGGAAAATCGAGTACAGCTGCAACGTTCCTTATTTTAAGAAATTTTTTTTAAGAACACTTAAAAACACTCAGAGGCTGATTTTGCAGATTATAACCCTTTATATAAGAACCAAAACAGCCTGAACCGCCAATAAAATAGGTGTTCTTATACCCGGATTATTACTGTTTCTTCTTATTGGTTTATAGTTGTGGACTGTGGCCGTTTGCCAGTGCCTCAACACGGAGAGAAGATCGGAGAAACGAAGTCCACTTACTTGGGCGAGGTATCCTTTAGGTGTAATAAGAAGGGTTATCAGCTTAAAGGGTCGAGTAGACGAGTCTGTCAAGAAAATGGTAAATGGGATGGTACTTTGACCAAATGTGAACGTAAGTTACTTATAAAAATAACATCCATTGCTATGATATATGTAATGTTTACAACATGAGCGGCCGTGTTGTATGGGAAATTACAATCTCGAGCCGCAGGCGAGAGATTGTANCGGTCGTAATCCTGATTTGGACAAATATGTTTATGAAAGGAAAATCGAGTACAGCTGCAACGTTCCTTATTTTAAGAAATTTTTTTTAAGAACACTTAAAAACACTCAGAGGCTGATTTTGCAGATTATTATAACCCTTTATATAAGAACCAAAACAGCCTGAACCGCCAATAAAATAGGTGTTCTTATACCCGGATTATTACTGTTTCTTCTTATTGGTTTATAGTTGTGGACTGTGGCCGTTTGCCAGTGCCTCAACACGGAGAGAAGATCGGAGAAACGAAGTCCACTTACTTGGGCGAGGTATCCTTTAGGTGTAATAAGAAGGGTTATCAGCTTAAAGGGTCGAGTAGACGAGTCTGTCAAGAAAATGGTAAATGGGATGGTACTTTGACCAAATGTGAACGTAAGTTACTTATAAAAATAACATCCATTGCTATGATATATTAGGCTTTGGTCGCCGGAATAGCATATAAAGATGTCATGATGATAAAAAATTGTCTCATGAAACATAAAGCATAGATTTCGTCATTTGTAATTGTTTAAATTGTTAGAAATTAAACATAGATAAAAGCCTTGCCACGATATTTTTGTTTGTAGCTGTCGASTGCCAAGACCCTGGGAAAGTTGACTATGGMGGTCGTAATCCCGATTTAGACAAATACGTTTATGAGAGCAAAATTGAGTTCAGCTGCAAGACGAACCACACCTTGAAAGGCGATAAGCATATCATTTGCCAGCACGACAAAACATGGACAGGAACTAAACCTACCTGCTTACGTAAGTCAACAATGCTTCTGTCTTGATAGATAATTAGATTTTTTTTGAAATTATTTGTATTTGTAAAGTATGCATCAGTTACACTTAAAGGCGAGCTTTTCAGTTTATGTTTGAAAATAGAAATACATCGTAATATAAGCAAAAACGTCCTCTTTATCATCAATTTATGCTATACGGACTGCGAATGGATATTTGAAGTAACTTTATTTCTATATATGAAAAACCTAAAACACCGCTGCATCCATGTATTTTAGGTCCATGCTCAGATCCTGGAATACCAAGGGGTGGTTATCGCCTTCATCATTCCTTCCTCCACGCTGACAAAGTGTCATTCACATGCAAGAGTGGATGGAAGATGGATGGTGAAAAGAACATTGAATGCAATGATGGGAATTGGGATAACAAGGCGCCAACATGCTTGGGTAAGAACATGATCATGACATACTATATATTCAGCTGAAAACATTGAATACTTAGAGTAGGGTTTTATTGAATATACATAGGTATTTCATTTTTTTTCTTTTTTTTATTGATTATCGGAAGATGGCCCGAATAGGTATTTGTGTTTCTAAAGGAACATTTTTTWTKTKGTGAAATGGTTGGAATGAATAARAAGTTGGTACTAGGTTGAATGTGGGTGTGGTTGATTCCTGGATGGGAGTTGGATTTGAACAGAGTCGGCTTGGTAGTTTTTAATATCAAATGATAGCTTATCAATGCGACCTAAATGATAACAACGATCACTAATGATTCTAATAGTTTAAACAAAATAATTTTTCTTGTCAATTACCACTTCATCTCCGCAAACAAAACTAACGCAATACATGGACATTGACATTATTAAACCAATAAACGAATAATATTCTTAACAACAATTCAAAACCTACAAAACGCTAAATAGRCTCCGTAATTAAAACAGTAAACAAATGTAATTATTAGTTAAGTTAAAGGGACAAAAACTTTAAACAGACTGTTCTTCAAAATGTTGAAAAATAATYGCTCACTGCGTCTTTGTCAATGTCCATATAGTACACCAATGTAGATGGCATTTTTTTCCATCGAGGTTATTTGAAATAGTGTGTTTACCATTGACTGTGCGTTAGTAAGTCTACTTCAAGGTTGCATTCGAGTTATTTCTAACAGTTGGTTTTTATCTGTTTCGATGGTGATCGCAATTGTTCGTTGGGATTTCCAGAGGGATGTACTAAACCAAGATATTCTTCCAACGGTGGCGTTCGACCAGAAAAAGGCTTTTATTACAATGGAGAGACTGTAGTGATGTCCTGTGGCGAGAATTACCAACGTATTGGAGACACAAGCGCACGTTGTCGAAATGGAAAATGGAGTAACAAGCCACCATCTTGTAAACGTATGTATTTCTGCAGTGCCATGTTTTAAAATCAATAGAGGTKGGCTTGTACCACCACGTGGTGACGGCCATATTGGATGGGTTTCAAGCTCAGTCGTGTTGGCATATTATGACAAAAAGGAAAGCTGTGCAATWTCAAATGTTTTAAAGCGCTCTTATTTTTTGATATAACTCCYAAAAGAGGAGTAAAAAAGGTACCAGATAMATCGTTTTCTGGAGTAGATTTAACTGCAACTGGGGAAGTAGTTTTGACTCCTTTTTAAGAGCAAGTTTGAATCCCTTTTGGAGTAATTTTTATTTTTTGCAAGTTATTTTAAACCTCTGGAGTAAAGAGGAGTAAAAAAAGGTACCAGATAACTCGTTTTCTGGAGTAGATTTAACTCCACCAATTTTAACTGGGGGAGTAGTACGTTTTGACTCCTAATTTTCAAGAACAAGTCTGAATCCCTATTGGAGTAATTTTGATTCTTTTTGCAAGTTGATTTAAACATCTGGAGTAAACTCCATCGGTGGAGTTATTTCAAATCCTTGAAAACTGAACAGTGTTCCAGAAAGTCTTCCGTTCTTAGCAACCATCATAACATGAATACAAGAAATCACTGTAGGTTCTCATCCCAAAGTGCAAAGTMCTATCAGTATCATTTGCTCTCGTCTTATTTACATTATCCTTCGTCTTCAATCAATGACTGACTCTTTTTCATATAGCAATGCAAATGCTTCTGCCATTCATGTTTTATGGCATATTTTGTTGGTTTATAGGTAAATGTTATAATCCTGGAAGTCCTTACTATGGCTGGAGAAATGGTGACGATTTCTTTGAAGGAAAACAAGTTACCTTTGAGTGTAGTTATGGCTATSACTTAGTAGGCCTAAAAACAYTGGAATGCTTGGACACGGGAARGTGGAGTGGAAYTGTACCTTCTTGCAAACGTGAGTGATAAGAAATATGGAAGAGAAGCGCGTCATGATCCTCACAATAAGTACAACGAAAGATGACTAGCGTCCGGAGAGCACGAAAGAGACAATCATTTAAATACGAAAAGCAAAGACTATTGCAAATAACTAAATCGTTTTCAGTCCCTTTCTGCTTTCACGATTCCGCGTCAATTCATATGACCAGTAATTATTAAAGTATATTAAAGAAATGCTCTGCTAGACTTCTCACTAAATTTGACTTATTGTAACGTATAGGGCGGTGTRCTTATAGTCAGCCTTCTAGTAGCAAGACTACTCCAATCATCGCTGATGGAGTGTCAGTCCGCCATGGCACCTCAATCCAATTTATGTGTATCAATGACTACACCCTTGTTGGAGATCAAACTGCAGTTTGTAAAGATGGCCGATGGAATCCCAGAATTCCAATGTGTAAAGGTATTTTTTTCTCTTTGTCTTTATCTACCCTAGTTATATATACAGTACTCAGAGTCAAATACTAATGTGAACGGTATGTACACTATGGTTATATTTCAGGCCCCTATAGTGTAATAAACTAGTTCGTAGCTCAAACATGTGTGTTTGTAACGCGACAACAAACTGAATTGAACRGCTCTTGATTCTTCGCTTTGAGATTGAACCTGCATAATCATCATTCTTATCTACTGCCTTTTCGCGTTTTTTTTATTCAACCAAACAGCACCATGTCAAGATCCAGGACGAATAGTTAATGGGCAACTTTTTGGAAATACGTTTACTCACAGAAGCAGTGTAAGATATGTCTGTATTAAAGGCTACTCACTTGATAATCCAGCACCACTGATATGTAATGATGGACGATGGAATCGGCCTGTACCTTCATGTAAAAGTGAGTTCATTTATTGCTCATGCATATTTAAGTTTTATTTCAGAGTTTTTATATACATCAAGACGGGCACATATAAGTAGATTTCTTTAAAAATGGCTGTTGATTTCTAAATCCCAGAGAAGTGTGATGATCCTGGAACTCCCCGAAATGCTATTAGAGATAGTAACAACTTAAAGCATGGCTCGCAAGTCTCATACACATGCAATGGAACTACACAACTTGTGGGTGCACCAACTATAGTTTGCAATGATGGAAAATGGTCTAGTCCTCCTCCAAAGTGTTTCGGTAGGTAAAAAAAGACACTCCGGTAAACCATCTCTCTCCCTTGAGCAATTCAGTGTTGCCTCATCGACGACCTCTTGTATAATTGTCTTTGTTTTTTATCAAGTTTTTACTCTTTATGATGCTCTTCATTGCGCAAGAGGAGGGGGCTACTCACAGATCCTACCAGACATTTTGCTTTGTCTTGTCAAGAAAAGTGAAACTAGTGAATGATATATAATGAAGTTTTTTTCTATTCAAGAATTATGCTAAAGGCCCGAAAAACTTATAAATAGTCAAGCTTKTATGTAGTTTCCAGTTCTCCGCCATTGTCAGGAGACAAATCCATCATATTGCTTCTTTATCTGCTGTTTGCATTTTTTTATCTTCACTGCTTTTCAAAAATGAATAAAAAACTAAATATTTCAYCCTTTACWTTGTATTAGAGAACTGTCCAGATCTGGGAGACATACCAAATGGGAATATTACTAATAATGGTTTTAAACACGGAGACAAAATATTCATTCACTGTAAAAGTGGTTTTAGAATCCAGGGTAGTCCAGATTTGAGTTGCTACAATGGAAAATGGACGAAGCGAAAACCAAAATGTGTTGGTAAGTGATACACAATTATACCCGAATTATCGTCTCGCATGCCAGTACTTCATTTTACTCGAAACTAGTAACAAAATAACAATATTTTCACGTCTTTTGTTTACATGATAACATCATTAACTGATCCACAAGGAAGGTCGCAAAATGGTTTTTGAATATGATTGATTGATCAGTTTACGGCATAACATGGTGTTTGGTAAAAAAATCCAATATTTCTTGGTATGACCAGTGCTGTTTGTTTGATAAGCTTTTAAGCTTATTGTTAAAACAATATTTCCCATTTCACAGGTTTTTGTGCTTTTCTTGGTCATCCAAAGAACGGTCT